TATATAAGTAATTCATATATACATGCATACTTACATACAAACATATATGCATACAAAAATATAAATACAAGTGAATATATATATACATATATATACAAAATTAAATGTATACATACATACCTATATATATATATATTATATTTACAAATACATATACATGCATATATATATATATATACATGCATGTAAAATAGTATAAATACATCCATATATATATAAAACAAATATATGTTTATATACCTACATAAATATATATATCAAAACAATTATAAATATTTGTGTAGAAATTTCCGTACATATATATATAAATATATACTTTTATATTTCACATACTTGTATGTAGGCGTATACATATGTATATCTATTTATGTATATATATATGTATACTATATATGTAGATATATATATATACTATATATGTATATATATATATATATACTACATCTAGAAATACCATTCTTTAAGCATCCTCTCGTATATATATATATATATATATACATACATACATATATGTATTATTCAATATATATATATACATAAATACAAACACACACACACTCATATATAACTGTAGCTATAACTAATTGTAACAAATATATATACATATACGTATATATACACAAATATAAATATACATACATAAATATATATATACATATATCTGTCCGTTTATGTTTACATACAAATACGTATATTATGGTGTACATTCACTTACGCGCAAGCATACATATACATACATAAGATGCGTGATACGTGTGTACACATGCGTGAAGTTAACGCTCACGATCAAGTCTTTTGACGACGGATCATTGCAATTCCATAAATTGGTCCATGTATTTATTGATAATGTTAATATTAAAAAATATTGGTTAGACAGTGTAGAGTGTGTTACTGTATGTATTGGACCTACATACGATTTTATTTGTTATTTTGTTCATTTTAGGAGGCTATTTTTTGGTATAAGGAGGCTATGTATTGTTATAAGTAACAGTTCTTGCATGTGTTACGTATAGGTTTAAGTTTATGAATATGAAAATGAATAAATGTATATATATATATATACATATGTTGGTGTATACACAAATATGTATATACAAATATATATATATATATATATTTATATATAGGTATAGATTTAGATATAGATATCCATATCCATATGTAACCAAACTATCATTTTTGACTATAACTTGGTTGTTGCCAAAGATTGGTACCAAAGCTAATGCCGGCAGACAGCAAGTTTAACTTCGAAAAAGCACAAATGCAAGCCAGCCACATGGCAAAGATTCTCGAAAGTAAACAAGAGGTTATACAGAATTAATTCGAAATAAAATATATATATAAATAAGTATACATCCTGAATTGAAGTAGGCTGTGAACTTGTGAAGGCTCACAATACATCTGTGATGATGTCCAACTGTCCTTAATGAAGATGTGTATGAGAAGACGTATTGATATTTGGTTTGATTTGAAAGTTGTGACTTGTGAGTTTGCTGCTCTAAAAGCTATAAAGCGGGACCGTACCGGTTTCGAAATAATATGGGAACTTAGTAAAATGTCCTTAGGTTTTTTTAGTATCAAATTCGGATCATTCCTATTTCAAATAATTCTATTTTCAAAGTTGTAGACATTCACTCTACTTTATAAGAGGGAGTTATTTATTTAAAAAAAGTATATATAATATAAATAGGAATGAGTTGTAGAAAGCATTAAGGTCGTAAAACCCTAAAAAATGGCACATGAAAGTACCTACCGTATCTTAATCTCATTCCATTAGTCTAATCGAAAAGTTGAATGTCAAAAGCGTATATATATAAAAATTAATTCATAAACTTCAAAACGTTGTTGTTCAAAAGAGAGGAGAGCTATAATCCTATTTGTTACTTTGAAAAAAACGGACATCTCTAGGCAAAAGCTAATGAACAAATTTAAACCTCAGATCTCCGAACACAAGAAACCTTTTTAACGTAAACGTATATTTATCAAGCGCATATCGTTCGTTACAACGCAAACGTATTTGGGGGCTAGCCATCTGAATCTATGAACTGTGGTATAACCCTAATTTCAATTTTCAATGACCTAAAAAAATATAAATTTTGAAATTATCGGCTGGTCGCGTGTGTCACTAAATCTCAAAATATTATAATTCGGAACAGTTGGCGTTGATGTGTGCGCGTGTGTGGTTTAAAGCTTAGCCAGTAGGGGTAGTCTTAAAAGGTCAACGGCGGTAGTTACAGTTCTCTCTTTTCTACGTCAGTTAGGTATGTATGCATGGATATACGTGTTTATACAGACATAGAAAAGATGATACACCCCTACGATACAATATATTGAAGCATGTAGGATATTAGTGTACACCTCAAGGATGGTTGTGAGAGAAGGGTTAAGGGCGTTCACAAACAGTACTGACTGCTCTACGATCTTTCTATTGGAATATTTTAGAAAGTGACGTGCATCATCGCACAGTATCGTGTTGACAATAATAGCGCATGCAATATACACGAAATCCGACATCAAAACAACTACAATACGTCAACCGATTATCAGCTCGGTCGAACCAATCCTGTAGGATACGTACCAGTAGTCTGATGGCAGCAACACCATGAATAAGATTGAACAGCAAAATAATAGGATCGTGTAGGCGAGACGATTGCAGCCAAATCCGGGAGTCGTCGTCATATATCTAACTGTAATACTGTACCAATTATATACATCAGGATATGCGCACTATCTGATCACTTCTCCCTCGAATGTGATTTGCATGAGGATAGTTGTATCTACTAACGTTCATGGTAGTATGTATACGGTAGCAAAGTATACCACTCTCTTTTGGGGTTGGACTGTACACACGCATATATCTGGCTTATTGTCGGGTATTTCGACTTACAAACACTCAACAACTCTCTAACTTGAGCAAATCACATACAATACACTTCTTACACAGACAGCGTGGCATTCCATTCCCTATCATACTATATCTATTCACCAATTTCTCCAATTATATGAACCATTTCTCAAATTATACAGACATTATGGCTACTACTATCGAGTCTGTCCAGTGCTTTGGACGCAAGAAGACTGCCACCGCTGTGGCTTTCTGCAAGCGTGGTTCCGGTCTAATCCGTGTCAATGGTGCCCCTATTGACCTGGTTACCCCTCAGATCCTTAAGCTTAAGGTATGTTATTTCACAATGATATATTCACACGGTAGAAATACTTGTGTACCTCCCTTTGTTAATTATACATATAATTGCCACAACGACTGTATTTCATTTACCATGCTTGTTCGGTGTCTGTGCGTGCCAATTTGTGAGCGGCTAATAGCTTGTGAAGTTTGTTGCGTGATAGTCAGATGTTATTAACACTTTTCTTTCTGGGCTGTCGAGCTATACGTGTTCCATTGTATTCGTATTCAACAACACTGCTGATTCGTGCTTGGGTGTGTTTATCGTGTATTAGTGTGTTTTTGTTTATATGTACGAGTCTTTACATTTATATGTACCGAGTGTTTACATTTTGTATTTGAGTGTTCACATTTACATATACGAGCGTTTACATTTAGATGTACGAGTGTTTTCATTTAGACGTATGAATGTTTACATAATGTTTACATATACATGTATGGGTGTGTTTACATATAAATGTTCAAGTGTGTTTGTTTGTGTTTACATATACATGTATGGGTGTGTTTTCATATACATGTAGAATGTGATGTGAACGAGTGTCTTCATATGCATGATTTCTCTTTGCAGCGAAATGCAAACGATAGTTTGTTGATATGATTTGGTTGTTGTTTAGATTGCTTCTAGTGGATATGGGGGGCTGTAGTTGATTGTTGCGCGCCGTCGAAAAGTACATAGACATTGCACAGAACGTCTGATTTATTAAATATATATAGATTAGTACATCGCTAGAGGATGGCTTTATTATCTTATGGCCTGAAAAACGTGTGTAAGCGAAAATGCGAGACTTCCCACGGGTAAGGCACACGAGTGTTGTCATACGATTGCTTCGTTTGAATTGTGATTGGGGAGACAAAATGGTCTTACAGAATACGACTGTGTGCATATGGACCGCAACTCCATTTGCGTGTGTACTGCTCTTTTGTATGCATCATGCATGATACATTCATACAGAGCGTGCTTGTATACGTAAATACGTAGTCTAGTATGGAGCTTTGTGTAGAGTTACGTTTGCATGCTTTAGGTAGCCATAATAGAATGTGGCATCATGTGTATACAAAAATCAAATATGAGTTGTGATATGTACACATGGTGGTAGACCCGTGTTGTCTGAAGCATATACCCTATGGCCTTATTGATACGTGTCATAGACTTATATTATAAATCGCGCTATACGTGATCTTCCCAGGTTATGGAGCCTCTTCTAATCCTTGGCAAGGACAAGTTCGCTGATGTAGACATCCGCGTGCGCGTCAAGGGTGGAGGTCACACTTCACAGATATACGCCATCCGTCAGGCTATCGCCAAGAGCATCGTCGCTTTCTACCAGAAGTACGTTGACGAGGCCTCCAAGAAGGAGATTAAGGATCTATTGTTACGTTACGATCGATCGCTCCTAGTTGCCGACCCCCGTCGTTGCGAGCCCAAGAAGTTCGGTGGACCAGGTGCCCGTGCGCGTTTCCAGAAGTCATACCGTTAAATGGGTTGTGGGCGTATGGTTAGATTATCAGTAAAGTATAATTGACTGTAGAGCATTCGCAATGGTGTTGGAGATGCTTGTACGTGTGAGAGAGATTGTACTGGCAGTTGGGTTATGATTATTGGACATTTTATGTTATGGTCATTTACGATCAAACTGAAATGTTAATTTAGTATACACCTTTTAAATGGCACACCGTTTCCCGAATACATAGCGCCATGTTTTTGCATTACTAATAGTATTAGCATTTGAAATGTCGTCACAAGAGTTCCAGTATATATATATATATAATATTGTTAAAACATGTTTCTAATGCGTGTGATAGTAAATATATATAGTGTTGATACTTGTTTATATCGCATTGAGCTAATTACGTACGTGATTCATAATGTATATAATGATCATATTCTTGCGCAGATATGTAACGTCTATTTTTCGTCAAATGATCATCCCATGTTATGTCATTACCAGAATATTTTGGTGTGTGCTGTGAGGTCGAAACAGCATGCAAAAAAAAAACAGCTTGTAAAATTTGATATGCTTCAACTCTTTAGTGTACACGTCATTTTTTTGATATATATATATAATGACATGTAAACTAAGGGTTTAAGCATACAGTTTCCATATATATATATATTATTTATGGCACATTTATATTTATATATATATCTGTATTTGTATGTGTCAGTAAGTGTGGGTATATGTATACTATGGTAGATTTATATATACATTTATATTTGTAGGTGTATATGTATACTATGGTAGGATTTAATTACGTTACGGTCGATTTTAGAAGAAAATGGACAAGTCAGGAAAAATTGCAACATGTATGTCTGCCTAAGGGTAGATTTCCGGAATAGCTTTTTTTTATTGCATTCAGTGTATGGTTTTAGAACATCTCAAACGCCTTGGATCTCGAAAGTATTTGCAATACAACTATGTACGCAAGTGTGTCCGGAAAATTACTGCTTAGCACACACTGGTGGTTATTGTGCAGAGGATGGCCGGGTGTATGACGACTGAAGCATCATCACTTTTCCAAGTACTGCTAGAAAGCATCATTACCTTCTGCTAATACGTTCGTTTTTCTAAATCTGGGCCCGACCTTTAGTCCAATTCCAAACCAATAAAAGTTGAAACGATTGTATGAATTTTGCTGCGATTATTGAATGTCACTTAACATACAACTTGTAACGCAGAATACAAACTATATTCTCAGTATATGGCTCAGCAGAGCCCGATAATATGTCACGTTCAAATTGAGAATGCTATTTCGAATAGGGGTAGTAATATATATATGTATATATATAAATATATATATATATATATGTATGTGATTGTGATATATATTTGTACATATACGTACATACATACTTATGCATATATAAATGTATATATACAAAGATATATATAAAGACATTTATATATATGTGTGTGAGATATATAGATATATATATAAAGATATATACATATATATATTTATATATCTTTATGTATATATATATATATATCTTTATATATATATATATATATATATCTTATGTCAGTATATATATATATTTATTCATATATTTATATATACGTATACACAGACACAGACATATATATAAAAATATTTATAGGGTGGCTTATTGGTACAAGTATATAGAGATTGGTACCTGATCCTTAAACTTGACTGGAGGAGAAAAAGCCGGCGCTTCGATGCATACATTTACGCATGTTACTCGAGAATATCAAATCTGTCAATTGATATATATATATTTTTAGAATACAATCGGTAGTTTCGATTTCATATCTAAACATATATCTAAATAAGCAGCAATCCTCGTGGATAAGTGGATTTAAAAATTTAAGCAGTACACCTCGTGATTTTGCAGTCATTGCATGGAAATAAATTCGTGGATTTAAACCAAAATGCACAAGCATAGCCGACTATCAGAGTTTAATGATAAGTTTACACAAGTATCACATCTGCCTGCACTTGAAGCACGAACTACTCCTATTTCGCGATCCGCATGATCACAAAAATAATACTCTAACTAGAATAGTATAGCAATCGTATGCCATTACCAATACAATTAAAACTAATAGCATGCCGCAATCGCGGTGCATGTTTTCTTCCGGCGTATGAAATCTAGGTCTATTATATACATTTTCTAACTTCCGTGTGTGTTTGATTCCCCTGTATATGTAATTTAATTTTAGGATCATAATCGAACTCGGCCTTAGCGAATATGTACTCAGTTGTGTGTACGATTCGGAAATTGCTGTACATGATTCTCTCGATGTTCACTGTTGCGAGCCATTGAATAATTGAAAGTACAACCACTCAACAGTTGAAATATTTATTTTATAGCACATTGATTTAAGTCCTAAGGACTTGTCCGTTCTCCCGTAAATTTTACACTTTTAGTGGGTCATGATATATTAGTACATATCTTTGTCTCATGAAGACTCGAACAAGATGCAAATTGCTCTAGAATAGTCTCAGAGACGCAGACTCAGACTCATAGTCGCAAGACTCGCAAGTCGCAAGTCGCAACTATAATAGCAGGCTCGCAGTTCGCACACAAGATACAGGTCGCAACGTATTATTTATTTAGAAGCGGCAAGTCCAGCAGCTCACTCGCTCGCGGTATGGGCAACAGGGCATCCCGCGGACCGCGTGAATGGATTCTTAATTTCTAGCCAATTGGTCGGCTTTATTCTAATTATAGACTGCCACAGCCGCATTGGTGGAGGTTTCATTGACTCTAAAAGTTTATTTTGCCGAAGCAACCAATTGGCTGTTTCTATCAGAACCATGCTGTACTTGCGCCACATGGCGTATGTATTTATTATGGTTCCAACTTCCAACCAAGAATGGCGATATTTCACTGACAGCACTGGTAAAGCTAAATATATTTGCGACCACTAGTGGGGACTTGGGAAGTTGGGGTCTGGGCGCTCTGGTCTCTGGGGAGTGGGGAGTGGGGACTCTGTAGTCACTAGTAGTCTGGACGTTACTGGAGTCTAGTAGACTCTTGAGTCCAGACTCCAGAGTCTGGGCCCTCTCTAGAGTAGAGGGCCTTGTCCCTTGAGGCTTGGGGCTTGGGCCCTCGCGAATTGACACGATGCCCGATGGTCGAAACTCGAGCGACGCTCTCTGTTCTGTTTGGGGTTGAGATAGAGTCTGATGAGAGAGAGACCTAAAAACATAAAATAAACAAAGTCCCTGAGGCGCAGTTTAGTTCCGAGTATCATATTTCAAAACAACACAGACAACATGGAGCGTACTTTCATTGCTATCAAGCCCGATGGGTAAGTGTTGTGTTTTCAGCTTTCGACTGTTATTGTACAAAGAACAAAAGTGTGTACTACTGCTGTGAACAATTGGCTCCACTTGTATAATCGGATTCGCTTATTCATACCTACCATTGCTTGCACACGATTGTTTTTATCTAATCCATATCGGATTATATTATACTAGAAAGTAGAAAGCGAAAACAAACACCGAATTGAGAATATAAAACAATGCATATACAAAGACGATATATTTGCAAACAGTAGTACACTACTCGTCCGTTCTCAGTGTGGCCCGTGGACTGGTCGCTAAGATTATCAAGCGTTTCGAACAACGTGGATACAAGCTTGTTGCCCTGAAGATGGTCAAGCCCAGTGACGCTCACCTGCGCGAACACTACGCTGATCTTGCTGGAAAGGCAAGTACTTCCACTTGTATATACTTTTTTATTTCTCATTCATCCTGCGGTGACCCTGTAAGGTCGTGTTTAATTGGAACGGAAACTTGTGTTTTGCTTCTAGTTGAACTAAGTGGTTGTATACAGCTCGAATATGTTTTAAATTGAAATCCTTCCGTGTTTAAGGCGGGATTCGAATATCAGTGTGTAGTAGATCTGTGTATGTATTGATCTATAGCTTTGATAATGCAATCGTTCGAGAGCAATTTAGGCCATACAAGTCAAGCGTTCTCTTCCAATTGTATACAATATTGTTCTATATTGAAGAACTTTATGTTCATGTGCAAATTTGGATATGGATGAATACTTGGAAATGGATGTGGAATGTGGTAGTTACGGTCCATTGACGGACGAGCTATGCGGATGGTTAGTGATGTATATTGAACAAACGATTGTTTACAGGCACGTGATGAATGTTTATATATGTTAGACTACCGAGACTACTTTTGCGGAAAACATATTGCTGATGCCTAGTGAAGAATCGTATTGAAATATGAGGCCACAGTGACTGTGACACACGCCCGTATTAAGCATATCGATTGTGGTATCTATCTATGTTTAGGGATTTTTCAACGGTCTTATCGAGTACATGAAGTCAGGACCTATTGTTGCTATGGTATGGGCTGGAGAGAACGCTTGTGCCGGGGGTCGTATGCTTCTAGGTGAGACCAACCCTCAGAGCTCACTTCCCGGATCCATCCGTGGTGACTACTCTCTGACCATTGGACGAAACATCTGGTACGTTCTTCTGATATATATAATTATTGTATACAAGTTTGATGTTGCGTATGTAATTTTTAATAGCTGTACACGTGTTATATTTAGATTTGTTTTGTAAACCTGATGTATGTGAAGGCAGGCGTTTCAACAATTGCTGCAATGAGGTCGAGTATTGTACGCTCATAATTTTATGTAAAGGCACGTGATAATATCAAATATGTTAGACTACCGAGACTATTTATGCGGACAATATATTGATGATGCCTTCTACAAATCGTTTAGATGAAGTCATTGCAAAAATGAACTTTAGAGCTGACAATCAACACTTTGTTATCACATTCATACTCAGCCACGGATCTGACTCTGTTGAGTCTGCCGAGAAGGAGATCGCCCTTTGGTTCGGAAAGGACGAGATCTGCGACTGGGAGCTTCCCGTACACAGTCTACTCTACGAGTAAATTTTTCTGTTCAACTTAGTAGGCTATGTATTTTAAATCAATAAATACATGGGACACATATCGTTGTACTTCTAATATGTATATATATATGCCTTCGCGACATCAGAGTCAGATGCTAGTTGCATAGATCAGCCCGCGCTCACCCCAGCACCGATTCCTACTGCGTACGGAGCAGATATATATATATTTGAATAGATCCATGCAGCACACACTATCGACAGAAGGGGCTCTTGTCTGGTATTCTATCATAGCCTTCTAAATGACACAGGGCTATGGTTCTATGGGATTTTTAGCACGAGGTCGGCGAATTTTTTGAGCTCACTGCTACGACGGGCACATTTAAGTCATAGAGTATTATTCAGTAGGTGTGCAGAAAGGTCCATATCTATCGATAGTGTCAAACGACACACACGATCAACAGACTACAGTATCGGCAATTCTTACAATGACCTTGTAGATCGCGAACTTACTGTAACCAAATCGGCAAATATTTTGATCTTGCTGATATAGGCAGCAGCGCTTAACACACAGTTTAGAACCACATGTAATCGAGTATATTACAAAATTTAAATGGCACAGACAAACAATAGGCGAGCAAGTCAAACACTCTTAGACTAAATCGCACTTAGGATCCGCTGCAAGATTGATGAATACTTTATATAAATGATATATATATATATATATATGCATACATACATACTTATACATATATATATATATATATATAATACACACACACACACATATATATATTCTAATATATACATACTACACACATACATACACAAATACACACATTCGCTCACACACACATATACATGTATGTAGGACATTTGTCTATATACATACATATATACATATATATATATAAATATATATATAGATGCAATATATATATATACAAATACATATAAATATATATATTCATATATATATATATATATATATATATATAAATATATATATACATACATGAAAATATATACATATACATATATATAATATTTAATAAATATATATATATATATATATTGATAGATGGATTAATAGATATATTAAATAGCTAGATAGATATGTTGATAAGACATATTATTTAGATGATCGATAGATTAATTGATATATTGATAGATAATAACATAAATACACTCACACACAACTGTACACATCAATATAGATATATATATATATTATATAATATATATA